TAGGATTCGTTTCGGTTCTTCAGAATTTGGCCCGAATAAGCGGCTTGTCCTATTAACCGGAATCGACTGTATATATATACACTGCGTGGTGCCAAGGAAGCCTGATAAGACCAGACGGGCCCAAGATATGTTGGAAGCAGGAATATTCGCCATTCATCGCAAGCTCTTCCAACTGATCCGCACTTCAGTTGTTCCCCTGTTTCTGGACTTCTTCTTACTCAGGTTTTGCCGGCTGAACCACAGCCAGTTAGTTTTGTAGCTCCGTCAGCGGCTGTGGTCCGAAACGTGATCACAGCCCTACATCGTTTTCGTGCTGATGTCTCGGATTCGCTCGCAGCCGCATCCTCCTCCTCATCATCATTATGATTATTATTATTATTATTATTATTATTATTATTATTATTATTGTCGTCATCATCCTTCTCACCATCATTACCACCATCATCATCATCGATACACGTTCGCTGAGGTTGTGCAAAACACCTCTGCGGACGTGCCGCAGTATAAAAGCTTTGATACTTAAAGCTACACTACACAATTATTCACGAGCACGTCATGTTATTTTACATATTTTATTATGCATTTCGTATACGATCGGAATTGGCGGGGGAGAGCTGAAAGTTTGGACGAAAATGCAACCCTAACGCCATTAGGGCCGGCTGTTCGCCATATCAGCAAGGGTATCTAACCAAACATGTTAATCGTCGTTAGGACTCTAGCCGGACAGTCGGGATACACCAACTGACTTCAACTTCGAAGTGAAGGTTTTCATTTTTCTCGACCAAGTCATCGCTTGCCCTCTCCTCCTCCACTTCCTACCGCACCTCGGGCGCGCAAACATTGCACCTCGCGGGAGTCGGTGTTCTGGCATGCGCAACACGTTGCCTAGCCATCGGAGTTTGGTTTGTGATATAATGGTGCTGGGCGGTTCGCTCGCTCTTCCTGCACTAAATACACGGCGCCGAACACATTCAATGTTCACACGGTGCTCCCACCAGACATAAGCTAAGCTGCGAACACAGCGAAGGTCGAACGTTGCTAGCCTCTTTATGTCTGTCGACATGATGGGCCAGGTTTCACAACCGTATAACAGGTTTCAACGGACTGCTGCGTTATAGACCCTTCCCTTCGGGATGAGAGTGTTGTCGCATCTGCGCCACAGGTGGCGGAGATTGGCAAAAGCACCTCGAGCTATACGGTTGGTAACCTCATCTTCAATCCCACAGACGCTAATGTGGCTGCCTAGGTACTTGAGTTCCTGAACGACTTCTAGCCGATCACTACTAAGAGTCAGCGCAGGGGTGGGTCCTTGCCAATCTTGGAGAACTTGGCATTTCGATGGAACAAAGCATAGCCCAAAACGATTGACAGCCAGTGCTGACCGGTCCAGGGCAGCCTGGCACGTTTGGGCGCTGTCACATATGAGGGCAATGTCGTCCGCATACTCCAAGTCATGAAGTCGTTCACCAGGAAGTAGCTCCACACATTTTAGGTCGTGTCCAGCGAATGCTGTTTCCATGACTCCATCAGTAACGAAGTTAAAGAGGAAAGGTGACAGTGGGCAACCTTGTCTCACACCGCTGGAAATATTGAAGGGAGACGACAGTTTGCCATGAACCCCCACTCTGCCCGTACTATGCGCATACGGCGCTCTGATGATGTTTACATAGTTATCGGGCACACCTTTTATCAGCAGACAGTCCCAAAGAGCACTTCGATCAATCGAATCGAAGGCCCCTTTGATGTCGAGAAACACGACAACGGTGGGTCGCCAATAAACATGGCGGTACTCCAACACTTGACGTAATGTGTAGATGTGGTCAATGTAGCCTCGATTTCTTTGCAAACCACCCTTTTCCTCGCGCATCTGACTTTCACGGGTGCCACTTAGTATATGAAGGACGACGAAGGTAAGTAACTTAGAGGCGATTGAGGTCAAACGGATTCCTCTGTGACTGATGCATTCAGAACGGTAGCCTTCCTTGAATATTGGGACTATGACGGGGCGGCTCCAGTCTGTTGGAACAGTCTCCTGCTCCCATCTATTCATTAGTAACTTTTGTGAATCGTCCAGAAGAGTAGGGCCCCCGCATTTGTAGGGGCTGGATGAAGTCCATCTGCTCCGGTGGCCTTATTCCATTTTTTCCGTCTGATCTCACGTTTGATTACTGCGCCTGAGAGTGGATCCAGGGAGTAGGGCGATCATTTGCCGGGGGAGAAACTGGCAACTCTGACTGAATGTACTGCTTCCCAATGCTCCAATCGCTTTGACAAGCTGTGGATCGACTGCCCACTCTCGTCGTATATGGTTTCGTTAATATCAGGTCTCCTGCTGCCCGTTTCCAGTATCAGACGGAATAACTTCCAAAGGTTACCATAGGTAGCGGTTGTATCTATCTTCGACGCCCGATGAGACCACCAGGATTTTTGGTCTCTCAGGCTAACATGGAGTTTCGCCCTAAGATCATTGCGCATCACATTGTATTTGCCTCCAGCCGGAACACGTCAGCGAGCATCAAGTTTCCAGACTGCGTAGAGACCCAATATCCACATGAAAACATGCCAGCTGCTAATAACGTCTAGCGGATGTGACCAGTGATCTTCAACTGTGTTCAGTGAGCTCTTACTCAGCTCGGATGCCAGCGTACTTTGATACGCATTCAGAACATCTGACTTCGCCAGTTGGCAAGTATCTATGCGCTCACAGAGCCATTGAGGACGTCCATCGAAACACACTCGAAAGTCGGTGAAAACAAGTGCGTGGTCAGAGTTTACGCTAACAGTCCAAATCGGGCGACATTTTTGTACATAGCCTCTTCAGCGTTAACTGATCGCGATGTGATTGATTTGCTTCCGAGGCTGGTGCGTGCGGAGGCACACTTCTGCCGGTGATGTGTCGAAGTGAGTACTCTCGAGGAAAACGAGTATCTTCACACAGATGTAGCAACCGCCTACGAGAGCCTACACCGTTTTGGCCGCCCAGACGAAGGTCATCAGTGGACAGTTTTCCAACTTGGGCGTTTAGATCACTAGTTAATACCACAGTATTCATACTTTTTCTGTAGCGAATGAGCGCATCCAGTTGGTGATGAAATTCATGTTTCACCGAGTCAGCGGTACAATCTGTGGGCGCGTAGGCCTAAATGACAAACAAGCACCGTTTGTCCCCGCTCGACGCCGAGGCTGAACCAGCCTGCGAATCTGACAGCACACATCCGGCTATTGATTGGGACCCAGTCGATCAGGGCAGATTTAGTCCGGGCGCTGAGAGCAATGTCCACACCAGTTTGACGGGCATTTGAAACTGTTTCATCCCCGGAGAAGCGCAATGAGAAAATAGCGCCAGTTCCGCACGTTAGAGATCACAGGGTAATTACAGAACTCGAATCCTGCAGGTGAGTTTTTGATAAGAAGCAGATATCGATTGATAAGGTCTCTAGTGTCCCGCAACTGCTTCCTGTTGGCTATTTGCAACAAATCGCGCACATTGTGGCGTGCTAGTCTTAGGGAAGATCGGGGGCTCCACATGGAAGCAGATGAACTGACGTTATCCGTTTGGCTGTACATGGACTTACTGACTGGACCGGCGCGACACCCTGCGATTGCTTGTGATTCGAAACCAAAAGATAAAAGCCTATCAAAATAAGGTGGGGGAGGGCCAAGGTTTGAGAGGTTGAAAACAGGGGGGATAAAGTGGAACGGAATGGTAAGGATAAAAACCCTCAAGATGAGGGATAAGAAAACGAGAAGTCTTGAGCAGTAGCATCCAAATCCCTATCCATTCTGCCCGATGCAGCAGATATGGTGCCGTTGATTATCCTCTGCGGTGACCATAGCATCAACAAATTATTGGAAGAAAGGTTCACGTTGTTGCTCGGCCAGAATACTGTCAGGTTGCCCAGGCCTAGACATTAGAACACGGATGTCCAAAGTTCGGCTTGCGTTAACATTTCAGCTGGCCCGCGACCTCATCATGAAATAATAAATTCAGGCTTATATTTTTTCGTACATGTGTACTTTTTATTATTATCTTAGTCAGACTGAATATGACCCGACATATTTTTACCTCACACAATGTGACCCTCCTTGCAAAAGGTTTGCATACCTCTGCCTTAGAACGATTAGGTATCGAAACCTGACCACAAGGCAGCGAGCTTTTGGCACTGGGTTACGGAGAGTCCGTTTTATGAAGTAAGGAGTCACCCTTTCTTCAACCCCCTACCTAGAGGGCCAGATGACTGGGTTTGTCAGGCCTCTAACTATTGACCAATCTCGCATGAGTGACTGGAAATGCGAAAAGCACCACCCAGCATAGCCCAATGAATCGCTGATGCATACAAACCATCGCACCACGATAGGGTCCAGTCTCGTAGCGATGGTTCCTGCCTGTTGTGGAATCCCTTGAGCATAGCACACCACACATTGATAAATCAATTTGGACATCAACAAGTCGGGACGGACTGTAGCTTCCGTAGGTGCTGAGGGCAGTAATTGTTAACAAGGGGAGATAATGTGACATGTCCGAGCGGAACTTTATAGCGATCCATAAGGTAAGTGCATCGTTAATCCTCGACAAGGTGTCAGCAGTACGCCGGTATGCAGTACTGATGATTCACTACCGCGCGACCACCAACAGTCGCGCGTGGGCTTCGGTTACTGCGAGGGTCGCTCAATCTCCTATGCAGGCTCGAATCCGCTCCATCGGATTATAAAGCAGGCTTGTGATCACTTATACTACGGGCCGGATAGGCTTACAAGACTGTCATGATTATCCCCTCTTCTCTTTATCTTCTGTTTCGTTCACAAACATCGCCCGTACTTTTTCTTACCGTCCTTTAAGATAAGGCTCGATCATCTCGGCATCTGTGATAACGGCGTCCAGATCACCACGACTGGTTAGCCAGTCGCATTTTACATCCAGTGTGGCCTCTTACTAGATGGTTATGATTGCTTCGTCGTCGTTCGTTATGATTACTTCGTCGTGTTCTTTTTGTATTTCAGCCTCTGAGGTCTTTTGCGACCTAAGTACACATTGTACACCGGAGCCCTCGGAGTCTTTGATCAGACACATATTACACATTCTTTCGGCGTATCTTATGCTCATCCTAGCTGGTTAAGGACATCTGTCTACCATTTCCAACCGCCCCCACGATACGCCTTACTGCACCTGACCGCATACCGCAGATAGCTCTTTCATCTATTCTCTACAAGGTCGATATACGATTTCTCGCTGTTTCCGTGGATCCACTGTGCTTGTGTTTGTCCTTTTCATATGAAGCATTCTAAACAGAAGAATCCGAGCTTAATGTGCGAGTCTGTTGTTACCGAACTTCGAGATCTTTATATGAAAAGGCTGCTCCCTCTCGAAGAAAAGTTTCTTTTCTCGAAATTCCATTCACCACCTCTGGACGCAGGCGATTTTACCTCTAAGCCCATGATTTTACTACTGGGCCAATATTCCACAGGAAAAACGACCTTCATTAAATATTTGTTGGGTTCCTCGTTTCCGGGAATGCACATTGGCCCTGAGCCAACTACGGATAAGTTTTGTGTTGTTATGGATGGTGATCAAGGCATCATACCGGGAAACGCATTAGTCGTCGATGCTTCTAAACCTTTTCGACCTTTAAGTCGATTTGGGAACAATTTCTTGAACAGGTTCCAGTGTTGTACTCTCAAAAATCCCGTACTCGACAGCGTCATCATTGTGGATACACCCGGCATCCTCAGCGGCGAAAAGCAACGTCTTGATCGTGGTTATGATTTCACTGCTGTTGTCCACTGGTTTGCTGAAGTCGTAGACCGCATCATACTACTTTTTGACGCGCACAAGTTGGATATATCGGATGAATTTCGGCGAGTTATTGAGTCATTAAGAGACTATGATGATAAAATCCGCATCGTTTTAAACAAAGCGGATATGATTGACTCGCAGCAACTTATGCGTGTGTATGGAGCACTGATGTGGGGTTTGGGCAAGGTCCTAGGCACCCCAGAAGTTGTCCGAGTACACATAGGCTCTTTCTGGGACGAGCCTTTACACTATGATGCTAACAGGAAGCTATTTGAGCTAGAGGCGCAGGATCTCTTTAAGGATTTACAGACTCTACCTGCTAACTCAGCGATGCGCAAGTTGAATGATTTTATTCGAAGAGAACGTCTGGCAAAGGTTGGTTTTTCATTTATTTGTCCACTGGTTCTGGATTTTCTTTCTGAACTTTACCCGAGAGCTCTTTAATCACATTCAATCAAAATGTCTAGCGAATTGACCTTTTCCGGTCATGGCTTAGCTGTTCAACGTATAATCTTACGCTTCATAGATCCTTTCGGGTGCTAACTAGCATGGGGGATGTTTCTGTCTCGTTATTTACCTACTGTCAGATGGTGTATGCTGTGGCGGCCACTGGTGTGCCTTCTCCAGAACGTCTTCATTAGCGCTCTTAAATGTTCTGTACCGATGTTGGTTTCTCCATTTTTTCTGACGTTTTTATTTCATACTTTGTCGATTCATCTTTTAGCCTAAGAGTGATGAAGCTGTGCAATGTGTGAATCTGTTTAGGAGTGGTCACTTAATGTGCAAACTGTTACACTGCCTATTGCTTTAGTATGATTTTATTGGCCCTAGTCCGACCCTATGCAACTTTCAATGGACCGTGCAATATCTCGTATATCTTGCGTCACGCATCATGTGTTACATTTCTTAACTTGTCCAGCGTCTTGATACATAGCTTGTTTCTCGTTTCCCCATGTGCTACAAGGTAAATGTTACCCATTTTAAATCCGTCCATTGACTCTGGTCGCGTTAATCATCAAGCCACGCTTTTTCTACTCTCATAGCCACCTATATAGGTACTTTGTGTTAATGACTATTTTTTATCCTTGTTTTCGGTTAATATGATATAACGTACTTTTTGCGGATCCTCCATGCCATTACCTTCAACTAAGACTCTTTACTTCGATACTCGTGTTCGGGCGGTAAAGTTGCGTGCATGCGAATCCTGACCGCCTCGTGTAGATGACATGCATAGGCTTTCGGTCTTTGACAATGACTGTTTGCGGAGAATCACCCATCTATGGGGGCAACATCGAGTGAGCTAACTTTGCTACGCCAATAGAGATAGGATGGCAACGTTCTACGCAAACTTAAGGAGTTTTTACCACGCCGCACCGTTTTTGCGTTCCTACAGGCGTTTTAGAAGTGGAAACGTGGAGGGCGGCCGACTATTTGGCGGCAATGCATGCACACAGACTGCAGACATAATGCAGATCTGGCGAAACCACTTTGACTGTTTCTTGAACAATCGTTCAGAGATCGACTGGCCTACATTGAACTGCGTCAAGCAGCATGATGTGAAGACGAGTCTGGCGGACACGCCGACACTGGATGAGACGCAGAGAGCACTTGCTCAGCTGCGAAACGACAAGTGTGCTGGGGCCGACCGGATCCCGCCTGAAGTATTGAAACACGGCGGACCTGCGTTGTTGACTGCGCTGCACCAATTGGTGCAGCGTGTATGGTTTGAGGAGGTGTCTCCTGAACTGAAGTATGCTCTTGTGCTACCAGTGTACAAGGGCAAAGGGAGCAAGCAATGTTGCACGAATTATCGTGGCATCAACTTGCTGAGTTGTGTGGGCAAGGTGATTGCCCGAATCCTGCTCAACCGCCTCGTCAGTCAGGTTGTGGAACCTAACGTGGCGGAAGAGCAGTGTGGATTCCGTTCGGGTCGCAGCACTATAGATATGGTGTTTGCGGCTCGTCAGTTGCAAGAGAAGTGCAGAGAACGACATCAGCCGTTGTACTCGCTTTTTGTTGATTTCACCAAGACGTTTGACACGGTGAACCGCGAGGCATTGTGGCTGGTGTTGGGTAAGTTTGATTGTCCGCGTAAGTTTGTAAGTTTAACTAAATGTCTGCACAGTGGTATGCGGGCGAGGGCGCAGCTGAGTGGAGAGACCTCGGATGACTTTGCAGTTGTCTCTGGTGTGAAGCAAGGCTGTGTCTTAGCTCCTGCCCTGTTTAAAATATATCTTCATGCAATGATGTCTTGTGGTTTTGATGCGGCTTGTGCTTACGGTGTTCGTGTGGAGCACCGTATTGATGGTGGGTTGCTGGACATCCGTCGTGTCGATGCGAGAACTCTAGTCTGTGAGACAACTATCCGTATGTTGCTGTTTGCTGACGACTGTGCGTTGTTTGCACACAGCGCGAATGAGTTGCAGCATATGACTAGTGCTCTGGCTTCGACGGCGGCCAAATTCGGACTCACCATCAACACAAACGAAACTGTCTGTCTCTTTCAGCCTTCATCGGAGGTGCAGTCTACAACATTGCCGCGAATCAGCATTGGTGCTGAAGTATTGGAAACCACCTCCCGCTTCTGCTACCTTAGGATTGTGATGTCGACTGATCAGCAGATACACAGTGAGCTGCGTATCCGCTTCTCGAAGGCAGCGGCGGCATTCGGGAAGCTAGAGCACCGAGTGTGGAACAACCATCAGTGTACCATTGGCACGAAGCTGATGGTGTACAAATCCATGGTGCTGTCCGTTCTTCTATACGGCAGTGAAACGTGGACGATGTACCGGCGGGTTGTGCGATATCTTGAGCGGTTCCATCAGCAGTGTTTGCGACGGATTTTGCGCATCGGTTGAGGCGACAGAGTTGCTGACACGGAAGTGTTGCGCCGAAGTGGAATGTATGCAGTGGACTGCATACTTTTGCTGGGACCTCTGAGGTGGCTCGATCATGTGTGGCCTATGGATTCGACGCGGATACTGAAGCCGTTGTTATATGCTCAGCTGTGTGGGGAAGCGGCATATGGGGAAACCGAAGCTTCGTTACCAGGACATGATGAAAGTGAACGTCTCACGTTCTAATCTTGATTGCAGGTCATGGGAATCGAAGGCGGTTGATCGGCGTGCATGGCGCGATCTAATCACGAAGGCAGTTGCCGAAGTGCGGGAGAAAGACCTCATACATGCAGAGAAGAAGCGGCAAGTGCGGAAGCGGCAAGCACCGATGGGTTGTACTCCATCGACTTCGAGCGCATGGTGCTGTAGCACATGCGGTCGCGACTGTTTGAGTCAGGCAGGCTTAGTGAGCCATGAGCGAGGCCACTCGGGACCAGTACCGAAGCGACGACGGGTCCTGCAGAGAACGTAGGCAGGACCGGCGCAGCGTTTGTAGGTACGCTGCATTCGATTTAGTAACCGCGTGCTTGCATGCTAAGTCTATTTATTTCAGGTGGTGTGTTTTCAATTTTGCCCTAATGCTTTTCTTTCCCATATAAATGCCTAATTATACTCTCTTCTATACACTTGCACACGTCGCTTAAGTCACTTGTAGTTATTTCGATAACATTTTCGTGTTCGTAGCATTTCCGTAAAATAAACCTCCTGACCTCGTGAACTTATCTCGGATTCTTTTGTAAACAACTTATTTCATATGCTCATTAATTTAAGATTTATGTCACCGTTTCCTTATGCATTACTCGCTTTATTTTCTTTGTTATATTTTTCTTAAGTGCTTGGCTGTTGCTTGATATCCCCGGTGTGGCTGCGCTTGATGTGCTTGTTGACAAGGTGCCTACCTGTCTATTACCCACTACTTCGTCCATACTGGCTCTAGGAGACAGTTGGTCGTTGCTGGAGGGGACAGGTGTGCACGATCCTTGTGGCCGTGTTAGGATCAAAGAGTAGTTCTATGCACTCAGTGTGGAGCGTACTACGGTCCAACCACCGCCTTGTGTGCGCTTGATTCCCAAATACAGTGTGCTTGTGTTTGCCTGTGAAGGAGTGTGGGCCGGCTCCGTTGATGAAACGTGGCTCCCATCCACATACCTCCCGGTCTTATTCCTTCGGGTTTACACTAGATATGGGGTGTGTGGATGGAGCTGTGGGTGATGCAGCGCAAGCCACCCATGTTCCCTTTGTAGCCGCAGGCGTTCTGTGGCTGTCCACAGTGACAGGCAAATTCGAAACCGGATGCCGCCAATCATTCTGCCATCGTACACCAGCGATGCTCCAGAGGCAGCGGTGATGAGAAACAGTCTCTGGAGAACGCTCGTTTGCTCGAACTTTGCATTGTAGACTCAACTTTTTGATGAAAGGCTGGGATCCTGCAGGCGCCAGAGATATCTGCGATTTTTCGACACACACTACATACGTTAGCTGGAGGTGGTAAGCACCTGAGCTACCGTGCCGCAATACCTAAAAGATGAAAAGGGAATAAAATGCAACAAGTGCAAGCCAGCTGAGCTACCGGTAACGGATGGGCATTGTTCCGGTAAGCTATCTGCCGGCTAGTATGCAGCAGAAAAAATAATTTCCTATGCAAAATTTAAAATGCTAAATAATGAGGTTGTGGTTGGAAAGGAGGCTACGAAGGATGGCGTGGGACAAGGAAACTCACGGCAGGAACGCCACTGAGATCGGCTCCTATCCATATCAACAACTGTATCCAGCCAAACGTGTTCATCGGCTTTCGGACCCCAACCAGGGAGCCGAGATGCTCCAACTGAGTCCAGCTTCGAAGTGAGGGCCTTCATGGAGATTTTTCGAAGAATACTCCAACTTTGGAGATGCACAACTCAACCTCACCTGTTTATTCACTCACGCTAATGCAACTTGTCGAGTGCCTCCAAAGAAATGCCGCAGAGGACGAGGATGAAGCATTTTGGGATTGCCTTTGAGTAAATCTGTTAAGCGTTGAAGTATTGCAGCGCAACCATGTATAAACCGTCCGTAGTAGTTAACCATGCCGAGAAAACGGCGTAGGCTCTTAACGGATTATGGCAATGGATAATCCAGTATGGCTTGCGTTTTATCAGTCAAGGGGCTAATCCCGTTAGCGTCAATTCTGTGACCTAGGAAGTCGATGGAAGTTTAGCCAAATACGCATTTGTCAGGGTTAATGTTGATACCATGATGTTCGAAACGTTCGAAAACTTTTCGTAGATGTGTTAAGTGGTCGTCAACAGAAGCACTTGCAACTAAAACATCATCAATGTAAACAAATACAAAGTCGAGTCCACGGAGAACTTGGTCCATGAAGCGTTGGAAAGATTGCGCGGCATTTCGGAGACCGAATGGCATACGGAGAAACTCGTACAAGCCAAAAGGGGTGGTCACTGCCGTTTTTGCAATATCTTCTGGGGCCATTGGAATTTG